AACGGCGTAAGACAGGCGCTGTTGATGGAAAGACGATAAGATCGCAAAGTCGTGAAAGGCATTTGGTAGTGCTGAATTTGGTCGCCAATGGCGGGGTTCCAGTCCGCCTCAAATGTATCCAGTTCCAGATTCACCTGTTGCAAGCAGGCGGCATCCAGGGAGCGCGCATTGGGGCTTCCACTGCGCCTTACGGCTCGTTTGAGAATAGAGACTAGTTCGCATGTCGCCGAACTCCTCGTGTCGTCAGGATGACTTGCGCTGCGGTGTGACCTGAAGCAATCAGCAACGGCCACCACCGGATCTGGGTTCAGTGTCGCTGGGAGACCGCTTGAAAGTGTCAAGGCAGCATCGCAAGTGAGTAAATTGATCCAGACACGCAACCGGCCTACATCCTCCAGTGTTGGCTTTGAACCATCGTTCGAGTTGAAAGGGAGTACAGCATTCTGGTGCAGCCCGAGAAAAAGGGCATAGCGGATAGCCAGGCCCAGCATGCTCCATGCCGAGATGGCATTATATCTGATCGACCGCGTAGGGTTGCTAATATTATCAATGGGCATCCACTGTATATACAGGAGTATTGCGCGGATATGGTCTAGATTCACGTCGGCCAGATTTGGCCTCAGCAGGAGACGGCTCAGAGAGTGGTCAAGAAGCGAGACGAGAGCCATGTACCGACGTTGCGCATCGGGGGTAGACGTGTTGGTGAAGCGATATCCTATGCAGCAGACGGATATAAACAGCGTCGGGCAGGCTCGCCGGATGGCGGCCGCCGAGGTCTGGGTTTGTGGGCAGAGCAGCGGAGCCCATCTGTGGCAGTGATTGAAGAATGTGTCGAAGCTTTCTTGGGCCTGATCCGTTGACATGACACCACACATTGTCGGATCTAGTGCCTCGTTCTCCATGCTCATGTCACTGTTGTCATGGCGCAAGTGACGGAGCATCGACATCGGTGTACCAAAGTCCACTACACCCTGAGCATCACTTCGGCGCCCTGGACCAACATCCTGGAGCATCGCGGGCCCGCTGGCGAACACTCCGTCCTTACGGATCCTTGCCCGCTTTGAAAGAGGAGGTATTGCTAATTCGTTGACCTCGTCATTCGATCTACGAGTGCCGATCATCGTTTGCGGTAGACGCGGGTTCGTGATATCCGTCCCACTTGTGCACGAACCTGGAGTTTTGCCCCCCTGTGCGACGATAGTTGTGGTAGTACTGAGATTGCGCACGGTGGTTTCCAGTTGGTTAATGCGATCGTTCTGCTCATTAATCTGCTTCTGCATTCGATCAAGCTTGCGGGCGTTTCGGCTGGCAGCATCTGCATCATCGAATCCCTGGTCATTGGTGTCGGTGGTGAAAGAGCACTGAACGGCCGACTCCGCGCATCGCCGACAGGGTCGTCGAGCTTGGTCTTCCGGTGCCGATGCCGAGAGGCCGGCGCTGCTGCCACCGCCAGGTCCCGAGCACTTCTGCTTGCGACCACGACATTGGATACAGGCTACGCGAGATAAGCTGGTCAGCGCGCCATGCAGCACCAGGACAGTAGCAGGAGATGGCACTGGGGGAGATGGTAACGATACCTTTGGAAGCCCGATGAATCTTTGCCGGGCGTGGTCCCCCAGCCCTCCTGTCCGCGTCGGTCTCGATCGCCTCTTCCGGCGGGACCTCGTCGTCGTCGAAGTCGGCAAGCAACCGACCGTGATCCATGATTTCCTGACGATGTCCCTCACCCACAATTCCGTTGCCGGGTGCTCTTATTACTAAAGAGAAAGCCGGCAACAGCGCTAATAGACTTGGGGTCCTTATCGCCGGCATCGGGCCCGTGCCGACAAAGCCGACATTGATAACAGCGATATTGATAGCACAATGTTCGCGAGGTCGTGCGGAAGCCCGAAGTACTTGAACCACGGGGCTGGTACGGATGATGATGCAGAATTCTGGTGATTATTCCAAGGCTTCACCAAGGAACAGTAACCAGCTTGCTTACAACATGCCCTCAACGTCGATCTCGTCCGCCGAGACGCCCAAGGCCGCATCTAAGAGCCCAATGGACGACAGCAAGAATTTTGAGATGCAGGTGGGCACCACCATCGAGGTTCCGGCCCCCGGTATAGTAGATGCCGTGCACGCCGCCGAATATGTCGAGTACCTCCGCCTCAAGGACCACTTCACGGCCAACCCCAAGGCACACCGGAGCATGATCAGGCGCCTCGATGCCCGGATCCTGCCTTTCTTGTTCATGTACTACCTATTGAACTCGATTGATCGGACCAATGCTGGCAACGTGAAGATCTACACCTTCATGAAAGACACCAACATGACCAACACGCAGTTCAACCTAGCCCTGACGTGGTTTATCATCATGTACGCCATGTTCGAAGCACCATCCAAGTGAGTCACTTTGCATCAGGTCATACTAACGACCACTTACCTCCGTATCCTCTCTTCGGCATTGCTGACCTTCATCACAAACAACAGCATGCTGCTGCGTCGTATTGGTCCCCGTTTCTGGCTGTCGTCACTCGTTATCTGCTGGGGTTGTGTGACTCTAGGCGGTGCCTGGGTCAAGAGTTACCACGATTTTGTTGTTTGCCGTGTATTGCTTGGTTTGTTCGAGGCGGGTATGTATCAAGGCTGCTTTTATACGATCAGTTGCTGGTACCTACCAAACGAGCTACAATCGCGTTGCGCATGGTGGTACTCGGCGACTCTGCTGTCCGGTGCCTTTGGTGGCCTGCTTGCATACGCCGTTGGTCCCCTCCAGGACCATCATGGCCTGAGGCAATGGCAGTGGCTGTTCATCATCGAGGGTATGCATCATCTCTGTTACTCGGCTATTATTGATTCATTAGTTTGATATTGACCAAATTTTCGTCCAGGGTGCATCACCATTGTGGTTGGTTGCCTCGGTCTGCTGCTATGCGTAGATTTCCCCGAGAAATGGAGCTCCCGATGGTTCAGCGAGGATGAGATGAAGTATCTCAAACTTCGCGTCAAGTACCGTGATGGTCCTGTGCCTCCCGACATGACATTCCGTTGGAGTGTTTTCTTCGAGGCCGTCAAGGACTGGAAAACCTACCTTGTCGCGTCACTTCTCGCATTTGGTGGCTCTGTACCCACATACTCGGTCAACTACACCTTAGCAACGGTAAGATTTCCAGGGAGTGGTATTGGCAAAGGTCGGCTGCTAACATTCTGCTGTAACAGATGGTAAAGAGTTTAGGCTACTCCTCCATCCAGGCCCAGGCATTAACGTCCCCGCCATATGTTTTTGCGTTCTTCTGCGTTATCGCCATTGCATTCTACTCTGATCGGTACCAATGCCGAGCGCGGTCTTTGATCATCAGCTACACGGTTGGCACCATCGGTATTATCATTCTGTGGCCTTCCCTCTACTACCCCAATCTCTCCGGGCTCAGTTACTTTGCTCTCTTCCTCGTTATCGCTGGCTATAACATGCAAGGCCCTGCCGTTGGCTCGTGGCTGGGCACCAACGTGCGTAACCCGGCCAAGCGAGCCGCTGCAATGGGTTGGATGTCGACTTGGGGCCAGCTAGCTGGCGGCTGCATCGGCGTAAATATCTTCGTCGGCAACGAAGCCCCTACCTATCGCTCCGGCTTTATCACCATCATCGTCCTCGTTGCTGTAGGTGGCTACGGCGCCTGCATCACAAACTGGTATTTACTTCGCCGCGCCAACATTCAAAAGGACCGTGTACCCCTTGCAGAAATAGAAGGAAAGTACACCGAGAAACAACTGGCCGAGATGGGTGAATACTCGCCGTACTTTAGATACGTTTTGTAAATCGGAATCTGGTATTGCTGGACTGGGACAACACGCGTGGAGTGGGAAGTCTGGATGTAGAAAACGGGCATGATAGAAGATGCCATCCACTTGGAGAATTTCTGTTTTCGGTTCGCAGCGATTAGGTGAGCACTGATATATTGTCCAAGTAGCAACTTAATTAAATCCAAAGTTAATATTTTCAACTCATGTCACCATACATCTTTTAGCTCGTGATGACGGTGTCCTATATCAGCACTAGTTTCATGAATGTCTTGATGGCAATGTCATACTTAATACCAATACTCAATAACATGATTTATCCAAGCAGTGATATGACGATACTTGAGATTTTGCACAAGTCAGAAAACTCTTATTTACATTAGCTTATCAGAGAAAACTCCCCCATATGCACTATGGAGACTCGAGCATCTATCAGTAGCCTGAGCTTAGATTGAAGACACTCAAGGACATGGTATGGCATCGTTTCACAAAGCCTTTGTTCCATGCCATTAGTCTCTAAATCTATAGACTACGCTGTCTTGGAGTACTTAGCCTCCAATTGGATCATTTCTTCAAATTGTGACATCAACCTTTCTCCTTCAGCTTCTCCCAGTTTCAACAAGGGCCGTCTAGGGTCTATCCCATACCCATGTAACTTGTGCAAAACATATTCTTCACAAGCATAGTGTCAGCAAGAGTAAAATAATTCATCTTCACTTTGGACTCAAAAGTCAGAACTTACTCATTCCCCTTACACCTGCAGGCACAGCTGCCACATCAGCATTAGACAGAATGTATTGAATCCTATCTGCTTCTTGTCTTTCATCTTCTGTCAAATTGGGCTTGATTAGGAGTGCCCACAGCCGCATAGACGCAGCCGGGGCAAAGTTGGGTATGCCGCTGACGGTGCCATGGCCGCCGCTTTTCATCCACGGTGTTAGATCAGAGATCAGCCCATCCAAGAGAAGGAATGGATATGGGCGGGATGTATTGACAGACGGCTCGCTATTGATAAAGGATGAGAGGCGGACCAGCTTCGAAACACTACCGCCACAGCTACCCGAGGTGGTAATAAGTATGTTAGAGGCCACAAGAAAACATGGATATCACATTATCACGTACGTGAGTTTGGCGCCGCACAAGTTGGGTGCCTGGCGTATCACAGCCTCGATTACAGCCGATGACATGTCCAATCCTCCCGCATTCGCTGGGAAGTTGTACAGAAAGAGTGGAATCTGGCGGTGTCAGTGAATCTTACCCAAGGATTTGATGCATTCAGGGTCAGAGGCACCCACAGGCGATTCTTTGCAGATATCGACGTAATATTGAATGATCTGGTCCTGGTCGGTGCTCAAGCTGGCAGCGTAATAAGCAGGAAGGATGACTAGACCTGCATCTCTGTCGGGTGCACATCTCAGCGGGGAAATACGGAGGGGAAAAGCAATCGGTGCGTAGTACATACGCTCCGGCATTGCCAGCCGCATGTGCGAGTTTGACTGTTTCTCTGGTACTTGAACCGCCCACACCTGCCACAATGGGCATGTCCGTCAAGCCAGCATCGTCGAGTGTGCGTCGTATGAATTTGATGAGATCCACCCGTTCCTCTGGAGACTATGAATCTTGATGATTAGAGAATCTTACCCTGGGATGAAATATTATCTAGAGTCTCTATGCATACCAAGTGTACAGCTTCGCCAAGCGACCCCGCGCACACAGGATCTAGATGAGTCAATGCTGTGTATTTAGTGGATTGGCAATGTGTTATCAATAACCTACTGATTCCTCTTCTAGCAAGATCTTGCGCAGTTGCTAGTTAGTCAGAATTCATACTGGGGGCGGTGGCGACGGCTGACTGAGTAAATGCTTCTCATAGGATTCGTAGTCGATTTCTTGCTTTTCATTGAAGAAGGTCGGTAAGGGTCCATAAGCCCCAGGATTCAGTATCAGGCCCATTATGATCGTCTGGGTGTAGGACAAGAAAGTAGTTCTAATGGTGTTGTATATCGAACAATACGTTTTGGCAATAGTAGATAGACTTTGACGTTGGGCCGAGTTAAGCTAGGCCATTATACATAGATAATGAGGTTAGGTACTCTTTGCGTGAAGGGTGGGGCTCGGTATCTAATCAAGCGGCCCGCTTGCCGACGGTACCGACGGGTCCGATAGGCCTTATTAACCGGCAGTTCTTATCAAGTTAGATTCCCTTCCATCATTTGGAATTTAGAAGCTCCCTTCCGAAGATAGCCATTACGGCTGTTTGCCAGGACAAGGCACATAGCTAGGGTTGAGACTTCACCCTGGCTCGGGTAAATAATGCACTCAAGCTGCACTCAATAGATCGCGTCCATACCGCCGACAATGGTCGACGTAGCAACTTGTCGTTAGTCTGCTACCATTAAAAAAGGGGGGAAAACCCTGGGACCATGAATGGCTATGCACACTTCAACTGTATCTGTGATAAATTTCATTAGTCCAAGAGACTCTACAAGGTGCCTTATTGATAGAACAAGGAACCGGAATGTATGTCTGATTGAGCACTCTACAGAGTCTAGGCCATCCTTTCGCGTAATCTAGATATCCAATATGCACAATCCTAAGATTCATCCATTATACGTGAATCCTCAATCTCTACAACTTGGAGATATTTGAATTCTTTTGGCCGTTCAGTCGTTCCCTCCTGAACGTGGCAATCCTAGGTAGAATATGTCAATCCCAGGCCATTGGTTGACTTCAAGTATAACGAACCTTTCCTCGTCTGCTAGCTCGAAAAGGACCTCTTGTGCGCCTTGCCAAAGAACTAGCTGGCCCAACGGTCTCAGATTCTCGCCACCTTCGGTGATTGTCAAGAAGTGATTTGCAGAGAGGGCACCCATCTTGCTCGCGAACGATACACCGCCGTAACAGAAGAGGAGCTCCGTCTCAGAATAGCCTCCGGGGTAGAAAAGAATCTGGCCGGCACTGGGGTGGCTCGTGTGGTTCTCGAACGTTAGGCCAAGATCCTGATCCCCCAGCGGCACCCAAACCGCTTCGCCGCTCCAACGGACGTGAATGACTTTTTGTCGGTACGGTAGTAGCTTTCGAAACACCGATACCGTCTTAGGAGCCGACGACTCAAAGGCGGCCAGGAACTGGTACGGTCCAGCTGTGATAAGGATTCTGTCCTGAGATGCCATTTCGCGACGACAGTTTGTGTGGCGTGCCTCAAAGTTCACTGGCAAAAATGTAGTGAAGCAGTACCCAGAGGCCTGGAGATGTGACAAGCAGTACGCGAACTTTGTGTGTCTGTTCGATGCAGGCTTAGGCCCTATCGGTTCGGTCGGCCTCTGCACCATCGGTCTAGTCGGCAATTGAGCCGCTGGCTAAGTGGAGCCTCGTGTGAGATATAATCACCAGAGTTCTAGCGATGATATTCACTCCATCCGATAACTTGATGTCTAGAGATACGCAGCGAGCTACCCTAGTGTCATCATGTCGGCCATTAAGATGATCCAGAGTCTCCCGCGGACGTATCCGAACACGTTCCCACCTTCAAAACAGCCAAGTGCTGAGAACCGCGGTGGCAACCACCAGCCGATACAGGACGGGCACATTCTTATCACTCCCGTATTACACGATGAGAAATCATCATTTGGTGCAAAGATTGATGGAATCGATTGGTCCCGTCCACTTCTTGCCGATGACATCGAAAAGGTATGCGCTTCTAGTTGGAACAGCCGGGCTTTGCTAACCTTTTGATATTCTGAACAGCTCAAAAAGATTCAAGATAACTACGGCGTCCTGATCTTCCGAAAGACTGGGTTGGACAATAAAAGACACATAGACTTTGCTAAGAGACTAGGCCAGGAGCTTGAGATCAACCCCTTCTTCTACGGCATTGAGAACGACCGCATAGGTGATCCGCTGCTATGGGACGTTAGCAAGTATGATGAAGCTGGACTTGATTCAATGTTTCATAAACAGCTGACTGACTGTTGTGCAGTATCAATCTCGATGGAACCATTGTACAGCCTAATCAAAGACGTTGGGATCACAGCTTAGGCAATGCTTTGTGGCATACGGTCAGTCCAGACATTGTCACATGGCCTTGTCACGCGACGAACATACTCACAATAACAGGACTCTTCATTTCACCAGCACCGATCGAAGTACTCGCTACTTTTATCCCATGGCAGCCCAGCCAGAGGCGGATCGTGGACGCATTTTGCCGACACGGCGCGAGCATATGCAGATCTCCCACAATCCAAGAAAGACGAATTGGAGGATCTGATCATTGAGCATGATTTGTGGCACTCACGCCGTCTTGCCTCTCCGCAGGCTTTTGCACAGCCCCTGGAAAATGAGCGGGCCGCTGAAAAGTCGGCATATCACCGACTCGTTCAGGTTGGCCCGGATGGGATAAAGACGCTGTATCTGGCCGCGCACGCCAAGCTCGTCGTAGGGCGCGGCGTTGAAGAGAGTCAGAAGTTGATTTGGGAGCTCATCAATCACTGCACACAGTCCAAGGTAAGCCAGAAGGACACCGATGAAGCTTAAATGTGCTTCAATGATTGAAAATGCTGATCTCTACTAGTATGTCTTCAGTATGGAGTGGTTGGAAGGTGGTGATATGGTGTGGTGGGATAATCGGTGAGTGTGTTGCCCCTCTGCCTTGCACTGTTGTTTCATTCCTAGAACAAACGAGATGGCACAGTGTGCTCACACTGAACGATTATTAGAAAATCAATGCATCGCGCGAACCCCTACAACACCGAGATGACTGCGCGTGATGTGCGTCGAGCAACCGTAATCGATGACGGGCCTCTAGCATTTGGTGTAAGCGAGGAAGAGCAGCTAATGGGTCATGAACGCACAGATTAGTTTGACAAGCATTGAGAATATTGGGTATTGAGAACGTGAAGCACATCGTATCCTCCAGGGCGATACGATTAGTAGGCCGCCCAGAATCACAATTGTAGCTAGCCAACATGCGCCTCTAGCGATCGTGCGACGTCCCGAAGGCCCTACGTACCGTGACTAGTACGCAGGCGATTCACGTCTATTCTGACGCCAGACCATTGGTGCGACCCGAGAGCCAGCCTGATGGACTGGCGGTACAGTGTCCAAGCAACGGCCAACCCCGTCGACACATACTAAAAACGAACCTAGCAATAGCTATCAGTGGTCCACTTGAAAGCACGGGCAAAATTCCGAGCCCAGTTTCGGTGGCTCCGAGGGGTAATGTGGGCAGACTGGTGTTTCTGCACTATCGCACTTCTGAAATAAGACACGGGCGTGTCACTCATCCCACGCTACATGTAGGTACTTAGGCTTTGAAGACCGCCGGTATGGCTATACACAGCATATAGCAGTTGCATCATCAATATGACCTCATTATCGGGCATCCCATAGACCTTTGCCATACTTTCTAGTGCTGCGACCCATCTCCATATGCAGTCGATATTTCGCAAACGAGAGGTGAGGAGTATCAGCCCCTACACCAGCACAGCTGTTTGTGGTGTGTGTTCGAACCCAAGTCAACTCTTCAGCATCTCATTTCATTGCGAGACACTTTACCCTGAGACTACGGCAGGTACCAATCCGGCGGCTACTTCTGGGTGCTCCTGTCAATCTGTATATGCACCTTGGCGTTGCCCTGTTCAAGTTATCTCTGCTGAGGAAGATTTAACTCCCATCACACATCCTGCCAACCTCTACACACCCGCCTAATAGACACCAAATCCTTCGATTATAATGAGAATATGGAAGATTTAGAAGCAGCTCGAACTCGGTCACCATATTTAGAGATTTGGAAAAGAGGAAGAGGATGCCGGGAGCAAGAATCAGACACAAGGTGTCAATCATTCGCTGGGTCTACGACTGGAGCGAAGCTCTACCCTGTGAGGTCAAATGTAACGACAATACTGTTTAAACTGAACTCTCACATTCAATAGGCCCTGAGGAGAGAGATCACAAGCCAGTGTCCGTAGATCAGCCAGCAGAACCGGAGACAAAATTCCCTGCCTTTCTCAGCAAATAACCACTAGTAACCATACAGGCGGTCAAACAACCAACCACAATAGAATGCCCGAGGTTATAACAGTGAATCTTCGAACCAAGAACTATCAGCAATACCTGCTGTCAAGGCTCAAAGCAACACTTTCTCCGGTCCCCGTTAAACTTAACCACCTACTAGTAGTTGATCATTTTTCATTGAGACTCTAAACAATGCCTTTCGCGCCCTAATCCCGCTAAAGTGCTGCTTGCCTTCTCTTCCGGCGAGAAAAGGCCGCAGGTCATTTGGCCTACGGATACTCCGTACTATGAAATGAGCTTGGCAATGTTACAGGCTAAATGCCCGGGAGGGAAAGCATGCGCTCTGCTCATGCCCATTGCACGTCCCTAACACGCCGACATCCTAGTTGGCCCATGTAGTACACCGCATCGGCACCTCAGGGCAGAACTTGTGTACCCGGTGGGATAGCTTACTCTCGAGCTTCCAACAGACACCGATTCAAGCACCAATTCATTGAACCAGAAGTTCTTACCGTCCTTTACAACAACACAAAGCTATCAATACCTTAGCGCAGCTGGAGCCAAGTTGCGCGGGCCCTTTACAGCTGTGAAGAGCCCAAGTTTGACTAGGTAGGGGGAGGAGGTGGGAAGGAAAGAGGGATGACAAAATAGGTCGAAGAAAAAAACAGGGACCTGACTCGAGGCTTCAACTTCAGCCCAGTGCTCTGGAAATACATACTATGAATATCGTGGGATATGAAACCTTGGCATCAGCATGGAAAACTGAAGGTAGGACGTAGCGAAAGGGCTTTCCTCAACACAGCTGACATGTTGTCTATACTCCTTCATGTTGCCTAGCCTTTGTGGACCATGAACTTCGATGATACATGTCCAACTTTCTTGAAATAACAAAGTTTACCCTTCCCATTCCATCTAGGACAGATTATTGCTAAATTTCCTTGGTTGTTAGCCTGCGAATCACTCACTTGCGTCTCTCTCAGAGTCATGATTATAACAAGTATAAGAACACACAACTTCCCATAGATAATGATCTCCATCATCTCCATCATCGCCACAACCTTCATTAACAATTATCACTCCAGTCTTCACTTTCGTTCTCACTTTTACAGAAGTCTTTCTTTTACTTATCTCTCTTTATAACGGTGTATCTCTAGTTCCGTTAACCTCACTATACATTCCTCGTCCATTTTCACGGTCGCTGTCGCTGCTCTTAGCTTCTTTAGCGAAGCTTCAGCATACTACAACTGGAATAAGAAGACTATCGAAAACTGCTATTATCGCGACAACGACGCAAGAGTCAGGCAAGGCGGTTACATCAACTTTCCGCAAGGCACAATTTGCCCCCAATCGCACTCGAATACCTGCGGCGCGGACTGCTGCATCTTTGATACTGGTCTGGGTATTGGCTGCCCCAAGTAGGCATTTGTCCGTACCTGCTACGATGCAACTCGATGGTAAGCTTTGGTTCAACTTCTGGTCTTATTCAAGATAACCTAACATTAATTATTAGGCCGCCACTTTCAAGTCTACGAGCTCCAAACATGGAAACCTTCACGGCAATCCTCGCTCGTCTTTTTGACCTTGGTGTTCATGTCGTTCCCGATATACTTTCGACACCATTGCGCCGGCTATGAGTTGATCTGGGAAACCCAAGTGGTATTGCAGACTTGAAGTAGGACTTGAACTAGATTTAGAATCAGATTCAAAATATGGATTACTTATTGAGGCTTAGGCCTTAGCAAAGAAACTCCTTGATATCTCTGCCTTTCATTGTTCACTTTGAATACAATGAGGCCAGCCCGTATAAGTTGAGTCTGTTCTAAGAAGTGACCTCTATCAATTGGCATTACCATCAGCATACCTGAAGGCCGGTTTTCAAAATATTGTTATTGATCAATTTGGCTCATGTTTTGTTTTCCTATCGTTACATAATGATAGGGCCGTGAAATTTGACAAGTGAGGTTTTAACGAACCATGAATAGAACAACAACTCGATCGGAAAGATACATGCAAGACAATCGATTTGGCTCAGATTACATCGGATCTGCATGGTCCCGAAAGCTCAAGGCTTGCATCAGGTTAACGGAACCCCGCCAAGAAGTTCTGTGAAGCTTCAGAAAGACAGTCGTAGTCCAACTCGCACGTGTTGAGTTGTCCACGTAGTTCTGGTTGAGATTCTAGTGACCAACAGGCTATACCTACGGCACGGGAAAACTCGAAAAATCTGGCGCTTCTAGTAGT